CAGACCAAGAAGTCATTATTACTGAAAATCAAAACGATCTCACCAGATCTTCGTACGAACGCTTACACCCGTTCAAGCAATACCCTGAAGCTGCCACAGTTGGCTATATATATTCTTTGCAGAAAGATCATCTACCAATTTCGATCTTGTGCCTAGTTTGTCGGTAGAATTTTCCCGGGGTCTAATTTCGGAATGTACTCACATGCTCTTCACAGGACGCTTGCAAGCGGTAATGTCTCGCATGTCAATAACAGTGGATGCCTGGCCGGCCTTTTGTGTCTGACTCTCATCATCCGGATCGAGAGACTCAGCGTTTAAAGTACAAGCATTCCCTACCCGAACAACAAGCTCCTCGTCGTTAAGCTTAGTTGGACAATGTCCTGCACCCTGAGAGTCATGTCCAAGTGCGCCTTTCAACTCACTCATTTACCTGTCGCCGTCTGAATTCAACTATACGACCGACGAACCATTCACTCGTTCATCCAAGCACCGATTCGATGCTGGCCAATCTTTTTGTGCTCCTTGTCGCCGGCCTGTGCGCAAGGACTATCGCGGTGGATGTTTTGATGGTCGACACTTTGATAGGGGACGAGTATACGGAGGCCCAGAACCTGGGGTATAATGGTGAGAAACAGCAGGAGCAATCGACATATTGATAAGGGGAGCTTGACTAATGCGTATACGCACAATACTAGTGATTGTTGTAAACACAACCGAGTACTCTGCGATGACCACGTCGCAGTTTGCTAGTTACGATGCACTTATCCTAGGAGACCCCTATTGCGACCCCAACGAAGATATCACATTTCTTAACACAACCAAACAGATCTGGTCGCCGGCAATCACGGGCAATGTCATCATCATTGGTAGCGACGTTTCTTACCATTCTAGCAACGGAGTAGCGGGTGCAGCCACTTTTATAGCCGATGCTCTTCCCTTCGTTGTCAATAGTTCGACTACGGGCCTTTATTTCTCCTTGTCCTGTATTTACGAATCCCAAACCCCGCCTGTCGAAGTTGATGCCCTAACCGAGTTTGGAAACTTCACTGTTTACGGGGTGGCAAGTCTCAACTACAACGATATGCACGTTGTTGCCTCCACAGTCAACCTTAACGGCTTGACAGACTCCGACCTGAGCAATTGGTACTACAGTGTACACGAAGTCTTCACTTCCTATCCATCGGACTTCGTTGTTCTGGCTATTGCTAATAACCTGGCTGGCCAAGGCCAGCAGACCTTCGGAGATGGCTCCCAGGGTATTCCTTATATTTTAGCCCGAGGAGTTACGCCAGTGGCTTGCGGTAACGGACAGTATGAGCCTCAGTACGGCGAGGAATGCGACGATGGCACCTCGAACGGCACTCCGGGTGATCTCTGTACGAGTGCTTGCAGGTGCGTGTATGGCGTGCTAGACGCAACAGCTGGTACTTGCAATCATAGTCCCGGGATATCAACTATTACATCGACTTATACGACGAGCATTTCGAGCACACTCACTCAGTCATCAACATACGCCGTAACTACGGCACAGGTGGTGGCAACCACGACCCTTAATTCTTCCTTAGTGACTAGCTCGACCTTCACTTCGGGAAGCTCTACCGGCATCACGATAATGACTTCTATTGTAGAACTCACTTCGGTCTTCACCACCTCTAGTGTTGTTTCTGAAATCTCTGGCTTGACTACTTTAACAGAGTTTACAGAAGTGCTTGCTGGGACCGCGACTATCACCGCTTCTATATTAAGTAGCAAAGTATCCTTGACCATGTCGCCTCTGCATTCATCCCGTATTTCGGGAGCTGTCTCCAATCCAGCTCCTTCAATAACCTCGGTTTCCACCTCTCGACACCCCGGACAGCCTCTGTCTGGCAACTCATCTGGTTCTGCAACACGCGCGACGAACCCAGTTGCAAGCCCTAGGCCACACCCTCTCACTATTGAATCATTCGGCTTCATGGGTTGCTACGGGTCCGATGACAACTACCCCGGGTTTTTGCTGACCAAGTCTGACCCACTCATGACTCTTGAGATGTGCATCGATACATGCTCGAGCCACGCTTATGCAGGAGCCTACAACATGTTAGTCTATCAACCCAGTGAGTGCCCCAGAGCCAGCGAGCTTGACTAACACAGGTCTTAGGGACTGTTATTGCTCTGATGTTGATGACCCTTTAATACTCCTACCGGAATCGCGTTGCAACGTTCCCTGCCCTGGCAATCCATTCGAAAATTGTGGGGGACTTTCGGCGTCTTCACGCCGGCTCCGTCGCCAAACTGTCCCAGACGGTATCATTCTCAGCATTTATGCTGCCATGGATGCCTCTTCGTCGGCGATCGTGCCAATGGTCTCATCCACTGCTGCCCCAGATATCACCACCTTTCCCACCGGAGATATATTGACAACAGCGACGTTTCTATCCACCAGCGCCAGTACGATAACTTCCTGCGCACAAACCGATGTGGGTTGCTCCGTCGGCTCAGTAAGCAATGCCACCGTCACAAGAACCAGCTTAGGCATCGTGCCTATCCCGACAACTACCTCCCACACGCACAACACTATGGGCTACGCGGTGAGCTCGGCAACTAATGTTAGTATCATGAGAACGAACTCAGGCATCGTCCCTAGTTCAACTGCTACCTCTTGTATTGGCATCTACTGTGCAAGCGGGTACGTCATGGAGCCATGGACCGATACATCCCATGCCGGACACCAGGTCTTCGTACGCGAGCCATGCACCTGCCGAGGAGGTTACATCTATGTACCCGCCACTTGCAGCGGTGCGGCATGCGGATACATGGCTCTCTATACGCCAGTACCATTCTCCAGCTCAACGGCGTCAACCGACGTTGTCTTGTACCGGCCGCAGGCCTGTGATGAGTCTTTGGGCGGAGTGGAGTTTGTGCAAAGTGAGGGCCCCACTGGTAGTAGCGGAGGAAGTGGCATGACTCCTGCTGCTGGTACGACTCAGGCCTCAATGATCGTGGCGGCTGATGGGCATATGCTGGTAGTATGTCTCAGCTCGAAGGCGCTTATTGCCCTTGGCTTGCTGGCGGTCTTGCTATGAAGTCTACTGAGTGTTGGCAGCTGTGCAGAAGCCTAGACGTAACTGCCTCATACCTTCTTGTACATATAGTTATCCAATTACACACAGAGGATCCTTAGTCCTTCCGAAAGTTTGCAAAAAGAAATATGTTATTGTAACATGGCAATTCGTTTGGTCATCACCCTTTGATGCTTTCCCTTTGCCTTTAAAGCCCCGCAAAACTAGGATCGAAGCAAGGCCCTTACTAGATATATTTATACACAAATCCAATAGTGTACAGGAGGCGGAAAATTATCGCAAGCTGAAGAAGTCGGAAAGGGCGTCATCTAGGCTGTAGTGTTAGATGAGTATGATAATTGTCTTAAACGCTGGGTAGTCTAGTGTTGCAAGGGTGGGACGGGGTGATTGAAAATGGCATCACGGGTTGTAAACGAGGAGGTTGGTCTGTCAAATATCATAAAATGAATGTAATACAGAGCCAGGGACCAAAAGTGATGTCAATGATAGAGTTTGGCGATTGAGTCTCGAAGCTGACTGAGAGGCTGGTTCCAATGCTACACATAGGGAAATGCTTTAGCGTGACGAATCTTGTCTTACATGTCCCGAGCTTTTGTCTGACATGACCAGCCCTTACACCAAAAGCTTGAATATCCCGCCCGAGACAAGACATGTATATTTCAAGAATATCCTCCTATAGAGTGTCAAGGGATGAGAAATCATTGCATTGTACCTCCTAACAGTAAGTGTATCTCAACGTGCCCGGTACTGATAGTGGCAACGTAAGTAGGCTCTTAAGATGCTGCCAAGGCCAGTGTTCCAGACTCAACTCCCCGCCACCGAATTAATAGTCGGTGATGCTGGCAAGTAGCGAGGCCGATGTCTTGATGTCATGAACGCTATTCGTAAAGATAGTAGCTGCATGGATTGATATAGCGGTTGTGTAATATATATTGAGGTTCATAGTCATCGAGCTCGGTAGTGCTTGTGGACTTTATCCAACTGTGCAATAGCAATTTGCTGAATAATTCTTTGAAATCGTCATTCGGTTATTCTTGTTCTCATCACAGCAATATCAGGTTATAATGCTGTCAATTATCTTACTCTTAATCGTATCGCTCGGGGGCAAAGCAGTGGCTCAGAGAGTCCTCTTTGTGGACAGCTTGCAAGGTCGGGAGTATCAAGAGGCTACCGGGACGCTGGGATTCCAAGGTTAGAGGTTACCCGTCTGGATAGTCCTCAAGACGATCTGACATGTTACTTCTTAGCAACGGTAGTCACTAAAGACCAGTGGTCTAGTATGACTACAGAGCAGTTTGCCAGTTATAATGCCATCATCCTTGGGGACCCTTATTGCGGAAACCTTTCTCAGATTCAGTTTGCCGCCAATAACAAAGCAGTATGGTCACGAGCAGTCAAAGGAAACATCATTATTTCGGCTGCAGGTCTCGCATCTAAGACGACTGTCAACCGAAATTTTATCACTTTGATGGACAGCACCCTGCGTTTTGCTGCAGCAGGATCTTCTACAGGACTTTACTTTGCTTTATCCTGCTATTACTCTGGAGCCACTACACCAACAACAGTAGACGCACTCACAGAGTTTGGGGACACTGTAGTTGGATCTGCGGGTTGTTATAATAATGGCCATCTTGTGGCCTCATCAACCTCACTGAATGGTGTGACGGATAGCAACCTTGCACAGTTAGGTTGCAATATCGTTCACGAACTCTTTACTTCATTTCCCTCTAACTTGGAAGCACTCACTATCGCGAAAGGTGCTACGGGTGCAGGACAAAAGTCCTTTGCCGACAGCACGTCCGGCATCCCTTATATCCTTTCCCGAGGCGCCACGCCAGTAGGCTGTGGTAATGGAGTGTATCAACCACAATATGGGGAGGAATGCGATGATGGTAACCAAAACGGAGTTGCGAATGACCTTTGTTCGAGCGAATGTAAATGCATATATGGGGTGTTGGACACTACAGCCGGGACGTGCAATCCCGCCCCTCAGAGCTCAAGCACTATTTTGAGCTCGTCTACATCGAGTACCGATTCGATTCCCAGTACATCAAGCACTATTTCGAGCTTCTTTACTTCGAGCACAAATCCAATCTTATCCACGTCGAGCAGCTCGTCTACTGGTTCGACGTTTTCATCTCAAAGTACTCCTATTGGAACATCGTCATTGCAGAGTACGGTTCCAGACTCGGATACTACGTCTTCAAGCTCAATAAGCTCTATAGACACAATTTCAAGCACAGCCGTCCCGCTGACAAGCAATATTGCTACTTCGCCAGTTACAGCAATAGAAAGTTCATCTGTTTCAGGCTCTAGCGAGATTATAGCAAGCGATAGCTCAACGGCAAGCTACAGCTCTCTGTTAGCAACTACTCAGACAAGCGAGAGCTCTCTCGTATCGTCGAATGAACCCCAAACAACCGATGGTTCCGTTACAAGCAGCAGCAATAGCCTTACAGTGAGCGATACTTTTACTTTAGTATCTGTCGTGTTCACAACGTCTACAATGATCGACAACTCTTTGACGTCGTCCACACCTATTGAAACAATCATCAGCGGCAGTGCTTCCTCAAGCAATCCTTTACCAAGCGACAATCCTTCACTAAGCGGTAGTTCTTTACCCAGTGACAGTGCTTTATCAAGCATTTCTTTCCCAAGCGACATTTCTTCAACAAGAAGTCCTTCAACAGGCTATAGTCCTTCAATAAGCAGTTTTTCACCAAGCCCTAGTGCTTCATTAATCGATAGTGCTTCCTTCGGCGACATTTCTTCAACAAGCAGTCTTCCGCCAATCAATACTCCTTTACCAAGCGATAGTGCTTCAAGAAGTGACAGCCTTTCGACGGGCCAGAGCTCCCTAACAAGCGAGATATTGTCAACGATGGATAGCGCTTTGACCTCGTTTGTACCCATTGAGACTCTAACAAGCTCGAGCTTATTCACGACTGAGGGACTCCCAACTGCAAACAGTGGTTCAGCTTCATTCATGCCTGTTCAGAGTACAATAGCTCAAAGTTTCTCAACAAGCCAGGGCCTTCCAACAAGCGATGGCTCTCTAGCATTATCTATGCTTCCAGAGACAACATCCAGGGATTACTCTGATACCAGCAATATTCCGTTAACGTCGTTTATACCTACCAGCACTGCAAGTAGCGATAGCTCTTCTTCAAGGGGTGAAGTCGAAACCACCATATATGATGGCTCTTCAATTCTCATTACTAGCGAAGTCCTAACGATCTCCGAGTCTAAAACAACAAGCCACGAAAGTACAATAAATCCTTTCAGCTCTTCGGCTCTTTCTTCGACTGAAGCTATGACACCTGAAAGCTCTGATTCGATCTCGACATCGATGATATTGACTGGATCTACGACACACACTTTCGAATCCTCTACGGAGATTTTCTATTCATCAACGCTTGATACACGCACATTTATTTCTTCGCTTTTCAATACTGAGACTGTGACAACCGCTTCTTATATGCCATCTTTTACATCGCCGGATACCGTAATAAACAGCCCTGTTTCGTCGTCTTTTATATCACCGGGTACCGTAATAAACAGCCCCGTTTCATCACCTTTTACTTCATCGGGTACGGCATTAAACAGTCCTGTTCCGTCATCGTTTATTACCTCTGCAACTGCGACCAGCAGTCCCTCTGTCGCATCCCACACGATCACTACCAGCGGTTTCTCTGTCTCAACCTCTACGATTACGATCGGAAGTTCCTCTATCTCGTCGATCGCAACCAGTAGCTCTCCATCATTACCGCTCACATCTCCGACGTTTATGACCAGCACTACAATACTATCATCGGACAATGCATTGAGCACTTCTGATTCATCATCCCTTACGACTTTGAACATAGTAACAACCTCACAACGAAGTCTCTCGACCACTTCCGACATCTCATCAAGCACCAGAAGAATCACAAATACAAGTATTTCTGTGACAAGAATGTCATCTACTGGCCCGTTCTCTACTTTCACCCGAATCACAGTGACTACAAGTCGAGGATCCTCAAGCGCACTCTCAGCCTCTTCTCGCAGTATCACGCCAACGACCTCGACTGCGAAATCTTCTCCTTCAGTTCCTCCAGATGCGTTTCAGTTCTTGGGCTGCGTTGGTCTGGATGCTAAATTCAGCCTCGCACTATCGAGTCCAGTGTTGACTGTTGACTTATGCACGTCAGTCTGCGCAGGCCATACATTTTCAGCTATTCATAATAAGTATGTCCAAATTCTCTCTTGTTGTTAGGTATTATATTGACAAACCAACTTTAGGAACTGCTACTGCTCGGACGCGCAACCGGGACTTCTCAGCATCATTGGTGGAATTCTCGGATATTGCCCCCGGACCACGGCTGAGTTATATGTGAACTTGGGTTTGCTGCCTCGCAGTTCACCTCGTCGTCGCGAGATAGCCTGGAAGCCCTCATTTTTGTAGCATTCACCGGAAGAGGAGTGCTTCAGGTATAATATTATTCTTCAGCCAATCCAGGTGGCACTCATTGGGGATGTGGCTTCTGTATTCATTTGAAGTTTTCGAAACCATGAGTCTCTGAATAGCTATAGTAGTATATAAGAAAGATTTGATATCTATTCCCATTTTTAGTCAAAGTAACCAGTATCAAACAGATTTCTCGATTCTCTTCAAGTCTCAGTTGGCGACGTCGTACTGTAGCATTCCTAGTCTAAGTACCTAAGCTAGGTACTGTGGGGGCCAGCACCTACCCCTGTAATGCCCCGATGGCGCGTCCTGGTCTGCCGCCCCGCGACCACCTGCATCGCCCGAGCTGTCGGGCTTTGAGACACGCACACCGGGACAAGCTGTATTGTACCTGCATCCCGAATGCGCACGTCGGGCCAAAGTTCTTGTCCTTCTCACCTTCTGTGGTTGCCGCGACGGCACGACATGCCTGATCGGGTCCGTTCCTGGGGAAGGAGGCTTCAGGACTCGCCACTGCACCGCTCGTGCTTGATATAGCACCATCTCTGACCCGTAGTTGCACCCAACAATCAGATCAAGATGTCGGCCGACCTCCTCGCCGAGTTCGATAGCTTCTACTCGCCGCCGACTCAGCAGCAGAGCCAGAATGCGAGAAACCCAGCTCCATCACAGCCGGCAAACCCGGCGAATGACCCATTTGCCTTTCTGAGCCCAACAACGACCTCGCCAGCTCCGGCGCAGACGAGCTTCCAGCCTCAGCCATGGTCGAGTTTTCAGACACCGCCGTCAACAAGCACCTGGGCCGATCTGTCGGGTTTGGGCGGAACGACGAATACTCAGCAGACTGCAGAGGAGGATGAAGACGATTTTGGGGACTTTGAGGAAGCGCCGTCCACATTTCAAGCTCCGCCACGGCCGAATGCCATGTCGTTTAATCCGACACCTGTGGCTTCGGCATCCAAGCCGGATTCCACACCGAAGACTAGGATAGTACGGGCGTCTACGATGGATCTCATGACAAATAATTTGGTGGATCTACAGGGCCTTTCGTCTAAGCCGGAGCCATGGCAGCAGAAGCCCTCGTGGGAGAGGGCCTCTGAGGCGGTAGCTATGCAGGCTAAGCCTTCCTCGAAACCTAAGAATACGGACCCAAATGTGCTTTTTGACGCAGACGACTTCGACGGCGTGGCACCACCCGATGATGATGAGGATGATGATGACTTTGGCGACTTTGAGACTGGAGACTCAGACTTTCCAAAGCCAGCACCAGTGCCGGCGTCAAAACCAACGCCCGCACCTGCCATCATAGACTTGATGTCGACCGACTACGTGGAGTCGGCTCCGGCACCGGCTAGGAAGCAGCCTCCAACTCAGTTGTTGTCCACGCTCAGTCTAAATATCTCTCCCACATCGCCATATCCCAATGCGCCCAAGTCCCCATCTTACCAGGAGCGCAACCCCTTTCCAGGCATGGGAATTGTCACCCCTGTGTCGGCAGAGTTTCCGAAGGATGACAAGCTGAAATCACCCTCCCCGATTACTGCATGGCCGAGCATAGATAATCAGCCATCTGCGGCGGCAAACGATGACTTTGGTGACGACTGGGGCGCCTTCGAGGATCTCCCTCCAAAGGCTGCCACTGCCCCAAGCCTACCAAAAGCCAAACCTACAGTCAAGGCCGTCACCAAACCAGCACCCAAACCGGCTCCTGAGCCGGTAGAATCAACTTGGGATTGGGACGCAGTCGACCCAGTCGAGTCATCGACATCGCAGATACAGAGTCAAGCCAAGACAGCGACCGCTGTATCATCCATACCAGACTCTGCGCCTCCACCGACCAACATCCCCCCGCCGTCCATCCTTCTCTCCATCTTCCCCTCCCTCCTCTCCCAAGCATCCACCTCGCTCTTCAAACCCACCGCCTCCCAGCCCGCCTCTGTGCGCACACGCGTCCTCGCCTCGCCCGAGGCGGCCTCCTTCCTGCAGGCCTACCTTCTCCTCGCCACGGTCGCCGCGCGCGTCCTCGCCGGCCGCAAGCTGCGCTGGCACCGCGACAAGTTCCTCGCGCAGGGCATGTCGATCAGCGCGGCGGGCGGAAAGGGCGGCATGAAGCTAGCGGGCGTGGACAAGGCGCAGTCGGCGCGCGAGGACCGCGAGGCCGCGGACGTGGTCGCGTTGTGGCGGGAGAGCGCCGGCCGGCTGCGGAGCGCGGTGGCGGCCGTCAATGCCGGGCGCAAGGACAAAGGTGGTGAGCCGCCGCTGCACATGCCGGAGCTCGGGGAGCACCTGGCGGTGCAGACGGCCAAGACGGTGCCGACGGCGCCGAAGCCGTGCGTGGTGTGCGGGCTGAGGCGGGACGAGAGGGTCAAGGGCGTCGACTTTGAGGTCGAGGACAGCTTCGGCGAGTGGTGGGTAGAGCATTGGGGTCACAGGGCTTGCCGGAACTTTTGGCTGGAGCATGAGGCTCAGCTACGGTCGAGATGATGAATGCATGATTGGCTGGCTACATGGCTGATTGGCGATATGGAATGGCGCTTTAGATGTACTTGACATGATGACGATATATTCACAAGGAAAGGAGTTCAGTCTGTAGATTGTGTTTTGAGGTTTATCTAGCCAAAATATGAAATACCTTCAACCTCTTATTGCTGCTGATATACGGAACCCTTGACGCTGTTAAGCAGACCTAAGAATATGCGTCATCTTTACGCAGCCAAGACTTTACAACGCTGTCTTGACCATGCCCCGTTAAGTTATTGTTTCGATCTTACCTGCAAATAGCGGCCAGATAAGTGGCCCAATTGTAAATGTAGACAATATGAGTACGGTCAGAAGCTAATATGAAATGCAGCTGAGAGGAATCACATGATGATATTCTATGTCTTTTGATCATCCAATGATCTCTTCCCGATCTGGAGCTGCAAATTCGCTCTCCAGTTCGAGTTCAACGAGACCGCAGCATCCGCAGCTTGGATTGTTCTCGCAGGCCGCATGAGCAGCGGTCATGGGCGGAGGTGCAGAATATCGAGAGCAATGCGTCTGCAGCTGCTGTCGAGTCCGGGGTGTCGTTCATATTATCGAATGAAGCGCTGGATTCATGTACATAAGCGAACAAGCTACTGCAGAGACGCAGGCGGTGCCATCGTGGGTAGGATACACATTAGCACAAACCCCACCTTGGGAATGCAGATGCGGCTGGCCAATGATGACTGCAAAGAGGAGAAGGAAAGCCATTACTGGTCGGATGACCCTGGCGATGCTTGCTGAAGGTGGTGAGTGAGGACCCGAATGGGTTGGCCGGTAGCATGGGACATCACTGGACGCCGTTTTCGGTAGCCAGTGGCGGCTCCTGGAAGGCTCGTGCCGGCTGGCCTGCCGGTGGACGGATGGCTTCGCATGAAGTGTGCAAGAATGAACAGGCATTAGGGGTCGGAGGTCTGAAGAGACGGGTACAGTTATGTGTTCGCTTCTGGTGCCGGGTTGCCCTCACCGGTGTTTGCAATCAGGCAAAACCAAGGGGGCTATCTACCCGCGTTCGCCGGTACTGCGGTTTCTGCAGCATCTTGCTGTTGTCTGTAGGTCCTGTGCCTCCCGCATCGCCTCTAGGGGAGGGGATTAATGTAGGTGATTGATCCGGAGATTCGCTGCTTGACCGGGTTGACTTGCGGACTAAGTCGTCATGAAGCCCTCTTCGGCATGGTCTGGCGAGAGAATCGATCTGCAACGGCGCGCGGAGGTTACGAAACGAAAATTCCCCGAAGCATCCTAAGAAGGGCGCTGGGGCCATTAAGCGGTCTCTTATTTATTCCTGTGGTAACGTCGATGGAGACCTCAGACGCGGGATGTAGATGAACCAAATAGTGGATACTGTGGATGTAGAGTGTGCGTGAGGACGGATTGTCTGGATGTCCTGGATGGATGCTGCAAGCTGCATGTCCCTCCCATGCCATGCAAGTGGGGTGCCACTGTCACCGTCACCGTCACTAAAACAGCACTACTGCTGGGACCAGGTTACGGCGTTCTTCCGTTACTTCGAGGCCTTGTCCTGGTCGAGCCAAGAGGTCCAAGAACGATGATTCAGAAAAGCACAGGCTTGGCCAGTCTTTCTGACATTGACAGTGTGAGAGCAACCCTAGCGGGTACAGCCCTGGTGAGGATCCTAGGAGGTTGAAGAGGTTGAGGTTGGGGATGCAAGATGTACAAGGAAGAAAGCATGGAATGGAGTTTGCTCTGTGGATACCGTCCTGCAGGATAGAGTAATAGTTATATTGACCTTGGAAAGCGGGCAAGGTCAAGCAAGGTAAGGGAAGATTTGTCTGTTTGTTCTTCTCGGCATGGTCGGTGTATCACTGGTCAATAGACAGGGTAGCGTGCTGTATTTGATACCCAGGTATGTCTACAAGCACGTCGCCCACCTAGATGATCTCTGCAACATGAGACTTTCGATACTATGATGCACACATCTTTTTATATCAGCCCACCGTAGGGGAAATGAGCTGGAAAATGCCAGTCCCGTCTTTCACGATCAGAGGTCGTAAGGGCGAGGTGGTTATGCTTATGAAAAGATAGGGATATCCTGTAGATCGCTGTGGTAGGCGCAATCCAATACCCTAAATACCTACCTAGGTAGGTACAGTACCTAGTCGAATGATGGATGATAAGCTACCTAGGTAGCTACACTGCCTTCCAAGGTTGCTCTATAGAGATAAGGACACTCGTAATTGGTGAAAATGTTGCGCGGGTCAGCATCTCGGAGGACCTAGGTACATCTGAAGAGTGCAGGTTGTGGTTCCTAAGCAAGAAAGAACGATGACAACCACTCGGACGATAGTAGGGCAACTCTGGTGGTGGCCGGGGCAGGAAGTATAGGGCTGAGAAGATGCTGACCGCTGAACCGCCTTCCCAGATTCGTCAGTGCCGTGGCGGTTGATGGCGGTCAAGAGCAGCTCCAGCCGTCCAGAAGAGGTAAGATTGTCTTGAAATGGCTGGGAAGGCCCAAATTGATATCAACTCCTCTTCCGTACCCAGCTACTGTCTTCTCGCGAAATGATTCGGCAGAGTGACGAGCAGTTTCGCGCAGGAGATAAGGTAGATGGATGTAAGATGATTGGAGAGAAAGAACAAGAAGTGCCGATGACCAGCCCAGGCAGGCACGACCCAAGCAAATGATGATGCTATGCTACCTGGGTATGGGCAGGTTCGCTGCTCCTGCTGTTGTTGGGCGGTGCTGCTTCAAGGTTGCTGCTGCTTACCCCGCCAGCAACAAGGATGAAGAAAACCATGCAGCTACCTGTATAAAGTACCTACCTGGGTAGACAATGGAAGTAGAAGAAGGAAGGCACGACGAACCAAAATGAGATGATGCTCCGAGACACCATCATCATCGCCATCGCCATCGCCATCGCCATCGCATCACCGCCTGGACATGGACATAGCCATCCGAGGATTACCCATAGCAGGCGACAGAATCGCTCCCTCCAATATCTAAGAGGTATCTAGGTAGGTAGGTAGGTAGGGGACTTGGCATCTCAGGGTCCAGGGCAAGCACAGCCCAACCCGCGTGCGCGTGCGCGTGTGTATCTGGACTGAGCGATGATAACTTAGATGCTGCTCTTATGCGAGCTAGCCTCTTAGTTCAAGGAGCTAGGGCTAGATTGCTAGACTGACAAGAGACTGTCATTGCCGGTGAAGGAGAGGAAGGCAGGAGATCGTCAGTAGATACCCGGTAAATACCGGCTCAAAGACGATGGACCGTACTCATGGCCATATAATGTCATGCGGAAGGGCTACCTTTGATCCCAGTACTGCACAGGTGCTCGTTTTCCTGTGTAGCTGTCAACATCTCCTCATGTGTCTTCGTCCACCCGGCCACGGTCGATTCTAAGCTACCCAGATACCTACCTAGGTACCTAGGTACTTGAATACCTAGGCCTGGGTACTTTGGAACGTCCGCAACTACGGGCCCCATAGGTAGGTCCAGATGCAGGCTACTTAGTTAGGCTTGCTAGGTAAGCCAAGAGGTCGATAGATAGGTAAGGTATGGTATGTGGCAGGGGGAGGTACTTTCCCAGTCGGGGTTTGCATCGATCCCTCTTTCCCACTCGCATCAACTTTGCTAGTTGGTGTAGTAGATACGCCTACAGACCTACCTCATGACTTTACATTCTGCTAACAAAATAGTACAGATGGAAGGTAGGTAGCCACGTAGATAGATTGCCGCGTGGTGATAGTCTAGCTAAGTATCTATCTACCTAGTGTCAAACAGAACAGCCCATACGGCCGCCTCTTGAATTCCCCCACCACGTGCAGGCTTGGACCTGTCCCCCGCTGCTGCTACTGCTGGTCCTGTCTGTCCTATCCTATCCTGGCACTGGCGCTGGTACTGGTGGGTGGTGGTGGTGGTAGTAGCGCTGGTTGCTCCTGCTGTTTCTCCTCTTCTGTATTCATTATCGCAAGGAAAGCAGGACAGTCACTGCACGCCGGAGAGGGAAAGAGCCAGAGACAGAAAAATATCCCACCTCCTCACTCCCTATCCCCCATCCATCCCCATCCCATCCCATCCCATCTAGACTGCCTATCCTATCTGGCTGTCTGCCCTCTGCTTTCCCTTTTGAATTCTTTTCCATTCACCAGAATTTTCAGTCATTTTCCGCCCCCAAACGCCTCTCCCTCCCACCTCTTCCGCAAACCCCCTCCTCCTACCTCACTAACGCCGCTTTTCCCACCTCTCCTCTACTCTACTCTCTCTTCTCCGCAAAGCGAATATCCTTCCCCTCTCCTCCTGGGGCCCTATCTCTCTCTGTCTCCTCCTAACTATCAACTGCCACTGCCACCACTACGCATAACCCATCCCTCACCTTCTCCCTCACCCTCACCTCACCCTCGCCCTCACTCATCCTCGCCGGTCCCGACCGTCTGGTTCCTCGCTTTGTCACCAGCGACGCCGCCGCCTTATCTACCTCCCCGGTCCCTCTAGTCACGTCAGAAACGAGCATCCGTGCTGAGCCTGGGATACCAGCCCACTCTGAAAATACACCACCCACCACTCCAATTTGCCCCGCGCGCGCGCAAATCCTTACCTGCCGCCTCCAAGCTATCCTCTGTACGTTGCTGCTGCCCCGCCAGAGAGAGTACTGTCCTCTCATGTCAATCCATCCCCGGTCAACCTTCGCCTCACCTCCTCTTCCTCTGGCTCCTTTTTCTCGCCTAGCATCTGCAGAACTCGACCGCTAGGTGCATTGGGAGATTCCTGCAGCTCACGCGGGCCTTGCTTTGTTTATGCGCCGGGCAATTCCTATTCGCAGGCCTCACCAACTCCCTCCAGATCACACGTGCTAACCAGAACCTCTCGAGCAGCTTGGGTCAACAATCGGCACCCAGATCTTGTCGCACTGAGCTCTCTTGACCGAGCGCAGCTTCAAATTACGTCCAGCACACAACGCCCCGTCTGCTGAGCTTTTCAGTGCACTGCAGTAATTGTTTCTGTTGTACTTGCATTCAAAGATGTCTGCTCTTCAGGACTCAATTCCCTCCAACGGCAATGACCTGGTCGATGGTCTCGATCATATGAGAGTCGGTGACGGCGAGCCGCGCCTAGGCCCTGACGGAGAACCCGCCCCGAAGACGGACGAAGAATACGCTCAGGCCCAGTTGACTCTGCGAGCCATCGTCTCCTCGAAGGAAGCCGGCGTCATCATCGGCAAAGGCGGGAAGAATGTTGCCGAGTTGCGAGACGAGACTGGCGTCAAGGCTGGCGTGAGCAAGGTCGTGCAGGGTGTTCACGACCGAGTCCTCACAATCACCGGCGGGTGTGATGCCATCTCCAAGGCTTATGCTGTCGTCGCGCGCGCTCTTCTCGAAGGTGCACCTGCAATGGGTATGGGTGGTGTGATTCAAGGCAACGGAACCCACCGTACGTCCCTCGAGCTTTGGAGGATTATAGGCGTAGAGCTGACAGTGATAACATAGCGATCAAGCTCCTTATCTCCCACAACCAGATGGGCACAATCATCGGTAGGCAAGGCCTCAAGATCAAGCACATCCAGGACGTATCAGGCGTGCGCATGGTCGCACAGAAGGAGATGCTACCTCAGTCAACTGAAAGAATTGTAGAGGTTCAGGGCACACCAGAGGGCATTCAGAGAGCCATCTGGGAGATCTGCAAGTGTCTTGTCGATGATTGGCAGCGAGGCACTGGTACGGTGCTGTACAACCCAGTGGTCCGCACCCAACCCGGCGGGGCGAGCACACTCGGCGGAGTCAGTGCTACCAGTAGCTACCCTACTGGCAGAAGTGACTATGCTGGTAGTTCTCGTGTCATGCGAACAGGCAATGGCGCCGATTTCAGCAACGGGGCGCCTCGCTCCTACAATCGCCGCTCTGATTCGGATGCAGCCACCCGTGGCCTGCCGACGCATGACGAGAATGGCGAGGAGCTTCAGACACAGAACATCAGCATCCCGGCAGACATGGTTGGATGCATCATTGGTCGGGCGGGAAGCAAGATTAGCGAAATCCGCAAGACGTCTGGAGCGCGCATCTCAATCGCTAAGGTGCGTAATGAATTTCTAAACTCGTAGCAAGATCTTGCGCCTTCATCTTGATAGCCTGATAATAGTAGCGGCTTTGTTTTGCTAACGGGACAACATAGGCTCCCCATGACGAGACTGGCGAGAGAATGTTTACCATCATGGGAACCGCCAAGGCAAACGAGACTGCGCTGTTCCTGCTCTATGAGAATCTGGAGGCTGAAAAGATGCGTCGCAGCCAGGCACCTCCAGCTGAGTAGGTCCTCGAAGCGCGCCGAGTATGGGTTCCGATAGTTTGCATGACGCATTCGTATATCTTAACGGGGGTCTCTGATTTTGGGTCTGATTTGGTAACCCTTGAGCTTCGGGGCATCTCCAGATCTGACTTGCCGCAAGGCTGATTATTTGGCGGTCTTCGGGGTTGGTACAAAATGATGTGACGACAATTGTTCTTTTTTTCGAAAAGCATATCTCGCGGGGCTTAATTTTCCTTGGAACTGGCTTCACTCCCTTATCTCATCTATTCTTTTTATTTCATCATGGCCACGCGGCTCCTCAACGAAGATATTGGTTCTTGCATACACGCAAGGAAGACCAAACGATGGTTTACTCGGCGTGACCGGTTTGGACGAATCGCAACGAAAGTCATTTCTCAGCAGTCCAAAAAAGGACGACGCATACGGCAGTCATATGACGGGTGCTACACCTTAATATCGACGTTCTCCATTTGCACACACGAGAACCGCCATACTCTCGTATCAGAATGCCGGCTTGGGACGGATCACCAGAACTCCTGGGCTGGTAAGATGAATCGGACCTACAGCACACCTAGCTCGATACCTCTTCGAGCCTCACTACCCTCAATACCCACTGCGCTCTCTCTCACTCACTCTCTCGACTCTACATCCGCTTATCCTCAGTCCATCTTTTCTCTGTATCATCCGATGCGTGGCAATTATGGGCCACTCAACCCGCATTGGGCACACTATTCGAAGGTTTAATAACTCGCGCCAATATCTCTCTTCACTGTTAGGTCTTCCGATGCGCGAGGACAGCCTACTGTCGTGATACCTATGCTAAAACTCCGGCCTCATTAAGGATGCATTCATTATTCTCTACGTGGGGTTAAGGGAGGAATGCGGGCATGGAATAGCTAGCATAGACATGCTTCCAATGGAAAAAATCGGCATCGTGAAGAATCCCAGTGGCTTCTCCTAGCCTCTCCTATTGCAGATGGTTGTGAATGTGATGATCCTCGGCGAGCCACCCAATCTAGAATTATGCTCCCCTTCTCTACCACCTGCTTCAAGCTATACTTTCAAGAGTGAGGCAATTTTGGGCGTATCTAAAATGTGGCGAACCGCCAGTTCGTCTGGTGCGCCACATCGTGTTGATCTTGCATCAGACGCGCCCCAAGACAGGTCAGGTATGTGGTACAGACACAGACAAGTCCAGTGCGGAGCGAAATGAAGGACACACCACGGCTTCGGCCCGCTGACGCCAAAGGGTCTCCTGCAGCACCCAAGTCGCTCTTCACCGCCCGGCAGATCAGCCTCGATAAGGATAAGGTTGGGCTGAGTCTGGGGTGACACCTCGATGGAACTTAGCTACGTGAATTGAAGCCAGTTTGTCAGCTTTGCGACATGCGCAGTGGTAACGTTAATTTTAGACAGTGTCCAACCCTGGTTCTCCCGTTCTCTTATAATTCTAATTTGTTTGTCCAATTCTTTCTTAGACAATGAGTTCTACTTGCTGTTGATTATTTACTCTGAATTGGTTTGTTTAAATCGGAGTCCCAATTCGCAGACGACTGATCGTGTTTCTCCTTATACGGATCAACCCCGATCCCGCTCATGGCTCGAACCAAACAGGCCACTCCCATTCGAAGGGAGATATCTTCCGAGTACATCAGCAAACATGACCGCTCGCCTCCGAAGAACGTGGCCACGAATGGAGACGTCAATGGCAAAGCAGCAGTCGCTTTGGCCCCAATTGTCTCCAAGGAGGCCGGAGTTTTGCAGCTGGCTGTTGCTGTTGCCGGCATCTACCTGTCGTTGTAAGTCTCCTGAAGACAAGCAAACATCACAGCCTCAGATCTTTGACTTGCGCGCGAGTGCATACACTGACTTCTTCTCCTCTCATGTAGCTTGACCTGGGCCTTTCTCCAAGAAAAGGTCCTCACGACACCCTATGGGGAGCCGGATCGCACCGAGCTCTTCGTGTTCCCTGTCTTCCTCCTGACAATCCAATCGCTCTTCTCGTCGATCACCGGCAGCATCTACCTTTATGCGAGCACGCCAAAGGGCCAGCCCGTGCCCCCCATCATCCCCAACCGGCGCATCATCGGACCCCTCGTGCTGGTGGCCGTCACGCAGGCGCTGGCCGCGCCGTTCGGCTACGCGGCGCTCGCGCACGTCAACTACATCACGTACACGCTCGCCAAGTCGTGCAAGCTGCTGCCGGTCATGTTCCTGCACATCACCATCTTCCAGAAGCGGTACCCGCTGCACAAGTACCTCGTCGTGGCGGCCGTGACGGCGGGCGTGGCCGTGTTCACGCTGCACAGCGGCAAGAAGCACAAGGCGCACACGCACAGCGGGCAGACGGGGTGGGGGATGCTGCTGCTGGGCGTCAACCTGCTGTTCGACGGCCTGTTCAACAGCACGCAGGACTACATCATGCAGACGTTCCGCCCCTACCGCGGCCCGCAGATGATGTGCGCCAACAACATGATGAGCTGCGCCCTCACCGCCGCCTACCTGCTGCTCACGCCCTGGCTGGCCCACACCGCCGCCGGCGAGTGGCTCGGCATGGACGTCGCCAGCGCGGGCGAGCTGAGCAACGCCGTCGGCTTCATGGCGCGCCACCCCGCCGTGTGGAGGGACGTGCTGGGCTTCGCGGCGTGCGGCGCCATCGGGCAGGTCTTTATATGTAAGTTTTCTTATCCATTGGCGGATGGCCCTCTCGCTGGGAGCGCAGAACGGAACAGCCTGGCTGACATGGCTCTTTTTGCTTTTCTCTTTAGTCTACACCATCGCCAACTTCGGCTCCGTCATCCTCGTCACCGTCACAGTCACGCGCAAGATGTTCACCATGATCCTGTCCGTCGTCGCCTTCGGCCACCACCTCACGCAGATGCAGTGGCTCGGCGTGGGCCTTGTGTTCGGCGGCATCGGCGTCGAGGCGGAGATCAAGCGGCGGTCCGAGGTCCAGAAGGCCGCTGCAAAGAAGGCCGCTGCGGACGCGAAGGCGCAGTAGAGGCGGACCTGGTCCTGATGGTGTGTATGGAGTTTTATACAGATAAAAAGAAAGAACCAAGACAAGCATGTATGCATGGGAAGGGGAGTTTTGGCATTTTTTGATCAGATCTCTAAAAATGTTCCTTGTTGCGAGTTCAAAGTGAAAAGACGTTTGTGGTTCAAGTCGTGGGGAAAGCGTATCGATTTCAATTTCGAACAAATTCAACGGCGTTCAGAAGGGCACGGAGTGAAAAGCGAGCTACATGATAATCGTATATCAAAACTTCACTGTCAAGTCTGTTGTGTCAGTGAAAGCATAGCTATTACAGATGACTATTTCGGTGGGTTGCTCAATGTCTCTTCACTGGAAATCATTCAATGTCACCGATACGGTCACCGTGAGCAAAGAATATCCAGTTATAGGTTGCTGCGAATGGCAGCATATATTTCCATTTTGCTATCCACAAGGCTGTTGCTGCTATGTCTTCACCATCTCCAACGCATCATGCCTCCTGGTCCTGTAGTTGCATGGCACATAGAATATCTCATCTACCACGACCACGACCCAGCCGCTCCTCTGGTTTCCCCATCTCCAAGGAGCGAAACCCGCCCGAAAGGGCGTTGCAAGCCCTTTCAGACTGTGCCCCCGCCTCTACCACCTCTCTGAGACCCTGAATGCACCGATGCGTCTAAGCAGCTGTGAACGAAATGAATATCGAGCCTCGTGGCTTGTCTTTTCAATCGAGTCCCGTTACTGCGCCTTTTGCTGTGTCCCGATCCAGGAGTATGTCCAATAGATGAAAAAAGAAGTTCCCCCCTTTTATCCGTGTAGATTACACATTTAAGTTAAGTACGGTTGGCCTGCTTTCGTGGCGCCAGTTATACCGGTTCGCCAACCCGCAATGCAGTCGCGGTGAAGGTAAAAAGCAGTCGCACTCCAGAAAATGACAAATGAAAAACCCAGGCTAGAAAATAGATAAGTTTCAGCGATTGATGTCATTGATGTATGGCAGCGTCCGACTAGTCATGAAAGGGACTCTTCTGTGAGCGCCTGCTGGTTTCATATCTCAATATGCCGCCACTGGTCCTTGGGGTATGCACAGTGTTTTCAATCCAAACGCCGGTGTCTTGCAGTCGTAATTGTTTGACAAAATTGAGTGCGTGCTGGCTGTTGTATTTTGGGATAAATGATATAGCAATGAACAGAACTCATGCGGTTTCTGAAGATATAGGCATCTCATAAAAGTTCGTCAATAGAGCGAACAATTGGCGTTTCGCCTTGTGTTGGGGGACTTCTCGGGTCCGCAACCTGTGACGGCCGTCCAAAGGGATAAAATGGATCTCTCGGAAACATTGTCTCTCTGGGAGAGAAAAGCCCTTCGCTGGGTGTCGGCGGTACTTCGACAAATTGCATACCTGTGAAGTCCGAGAAGTTCTCGTGAAAGGGATTGTTCGTCATGGTTTCCGCTCTCGGCGACATCAAAGCAGAATCGTCAGGAAATCTGCTAACCATGGTGACATGTTGCTCGATAGGAGCCGCCTCGACCTTGGCGTCACTCTTCAAGGATTCGCCCAGGCTTAGGGGTGCAAATCCAAAACTTCCATGCCCACCAGCAAAGCGATGAGCGCCAAATCCCGGGGAAGGGGGCGGCTTGAAAGGCGATGGAGGTGGTTTGGCTAACGAACTGAAAGAGCTTGATGAGACAAAGCCTGAATCCGGCTGGGAAGGCCTAAATATCTCAGGAATGTTGAAGCGTCCGAATCTTCCACGGTCTTGTTCATCCTCTTTCTCGGTCCAAGAAAAACTCGAAGGTGCAGATGACGGCCCTGCAGAAATTGGATCTCGATTGGGAGTCGAGTTACCACGCGCCCGTAGTGGGCTCTTGTCGGGGCTCGCGGCCACTGACATGTTATCCTCACCCGGTAGAGGTGCTGTCAGTGGTTCTTTGGGTGATATATCGATTGCGTCGACAGAAAGCGTCATCCTATGCTTCGTAGGGCTTCTGCCGGTGCGTGGTCGGAATGCCGATCCAGGAGCTTGCTTCCTCTTCCCAACCTCCTTCTGGAAGTCCTGCAAGCAGTACATCAGCCTCATATTCGGGCTGATCCAGCGACTCTTTGCTTGCGCGGCGTAGTAAGCGTCATTTACGCTAAGCTCAGGGTTCTGATATATTCCATAAGCTATTATTAGACTTGCAGAGCGGCTCGCGCCTTGCTGACAGTGCACAAGGACTTTCTTGCCCTCCTTTGTCTTCTTCTCGATGGTCTCACAGAGCATCATCAAATCTTCTGAGATGTCCGTGTTATGATCCCATGGCATATGTATGTACTCTGGTTCCTTGGGAGGAAACATCGCCTTTGGTGTTGTCGGCGTTGTGTCTTCTTGCGGGAACTCAAAAGCTGTTGCGTAGCTTGCTGCCGTCACAGCCGTGTCTGGAATCGGCGAGTTGTCGACGAGCACCGTTGGTGAGGATGTCTCCTCCTTGGGTGCAACTGACAACATCTTGAAGGGGTTTGACACCTCCCTTGCGACATTGATTACGACGTCGAATTTTGATGCCTCTTCTGCAGTCGGTTCCAAGTAAAGGTAGACCTCATCACCATAGATCGCAATGGGGCCATCAGGATATCCAGGTGTCTTCTGGTCTTCATTGTTCTCATGCTCATGATAGGGCTCAAAGTCATATGCAGCTCGGTTTGCAATCTGAGACTTGATGGGCGAATCCTCTTCTAGAATGGTCGTGTCGAAACCTACGGGCGGAGCAGGCTTCGAGGGCCGCAGGAATTCTGACAGACCAGATTCGTTGCGCTCGAGTACGGTGGGGAATGTCATCCCACCTACGGGACCGAAGGTTGCGGACTTAAGACCCGAGAGCATATGAGGGGATGACGTGGAGTGCTTCAGTGCTCTACGTTGTAGTATAGGAGGCATTGCTGGGGATGATGGTACCTCTAGTGTTGTTCGCGTAAGGAGATCTGATGTGCTGGTCTTGAGGCTCAGTTGGCTTGGCTTCCTCTTCATGGCAGGAATCTTTGGTTTTATGAATGATGGCGACGATGGTTCAGAGACGAGAGACGATGGCAAGTTCCCGCCAAATGGGGGCTGAATCGAGAGGCCCTTCATATTGCGCGCTCGCCGGGGTGAGGGCGATGTCATGGGGCGCTCCAGATTATTTGCCTCTGAGACATTGAGGCTCGCCATGGATGACAGCCCGCCAAACGAAGTTGCCGGAAAGGAGTTTAGAGGAACCAAGTTGATAGGAGAGTCTGGCGATGATGACGGAGAAGGATCGGACAATGATGAGGAATCGGTACATGAGACTGTGGTTGTTGGTGATGAATCTGCCGACTCTGAATTTTGAGTCGAGGTGCTGTCATTGTGTCTGTGAGCGTGGTCTGACTGAACAGGATTGGGCCCCAGTAGCTGGTGAGAATCGTTTTGTATCTTATGGGCGGCTTGGTCCACTTCCATCATCTTGGGGTCTACGATGGTGACCGTATCTCTGTCCCCGATAGCGTCGGCGTCCAGATCGAATACGGACATGAACGAGGGGATTTGATCCTCGTATAAGCGGCGGGCTGCTGCGGAAGGCATATTCGGTACTCGGGGTGTTGGTCCCAAACTCTCCCTCTCTTCCTCACCTAGTCCTCGAACCAATCTCTCCAGATTGCAAGCCGCTATCGACAATCAAGGTCAATAAGTTGCTTGTTGTTCGACTCGATAGTATGAAGTCTGTAGGTGCCTTGGGCGCGGCTAATAAGAAAATGTCTTCACTAAGGAACGGATGTCGAAGGAACGTGTCCGAAGTCGATGGGGGACAGCACTGCTGAATCCTCTATTCCTCCGGTCTACCAGACCAGGCTGGCCTTGCTCAGCAGTTCGCCTTCTCGAGCCACAATGCTTTCTGTCGTCAGAGTAGTCGCGACGAGGTCCACCGATCCAGGCGTCGTTTCGCGTGTACTCGCTTGCTGCGCGGAGGGTCGAGTCACCGGTAGAGTGTCTTCGGAGTCGATGAGGATGTGAGATGGTGGTGTGAGGTGAAAGCGTGACGACGATGACAGGATGGAGGACACTTGGTGTCAGCACATGGTCGGACTTGTCGAGAGAGCCTGCCTCTGGTCAGAATCGTAGACAAGAAGAGAGGGAAGATGGAGGGATGAGGTGGTGGTCGGGTACCGTTTGTCGTAGTGTCTTTGTCTCGCCTCTCACACGCAAACTCTCGTCGGGCTCCGTCAGTCAGCCAGTCAGTCAGTCGCTTGGTCGGTCTTTTCGCTCTTCGTGTGCAACGATGGCGACAGAAGAGGAATTGTGGTAGGAAAGGAATGCAAAGGAGGGATTGGGATTGGAGAAGGAAGAATTGCCTCCCCGGGGGGTCGCAGGAAGAAGACGGGTAGCGACAAGGATTGGTGTTGAATTGGAGGAGCAGGAGCCGACGGGCAGCAGCAACCAAGACGGGCGGTTTGCAAAGAGAGAGGAGGGCCCGGTCCCTACTGAGAAAGTACTACGGCTGTAGGAAGATGGCGGTTGCGGTGGTGGTAGTGGTGGTGGGTGCTGGCGGGTGTGGGCGAGGAAAGACAATTGGAAGTCGCTGCTAGGCGGACAGGGACGCTACAGTCCAGACGGCGGGCAGAGGGCCAGTCAGCGGCAAGCAGCGAGCAAAGCAGCGACTCTGAATGGGCGATTACGAGGATTGGTAATGGGCCGCCAGACGCAACCAAACACAAGACCTGCCTGCTTGCTTGCTTTCTACTACTAGTACTGTGTGCTAAGATTGTTGCTATTACCACATGCATGAGATACATTGTACTCTAACTATTCCATTGCAGTAGCAGCAGCAGTAACGTTATTGACAGACACAGAGAGACTGCGGAAGGAGCGAGGCAGTCGAGATGCACAGAGAGTACAAAGGGGGGGGGGAGGTGCATGGCCCATACAGTACGCTTAACACCAAGCAGAGCATGGTAAGTACATGGCTGACCACGGGGGCCAGGGGGGTTCCTTCCTTCAGGGGGGTGAGTCTCGGGCGCTGGATGGCTCGTTCAATGCGGGAGTCGAGCCAGTGGAGCCCTCTATTGCCTGGGGCCCCCCTGCCCGGTGGTCTGGCTGTGTCCAATTGAAGAAGGCGCACCCACTGCAGCCTCTGCAAGTGAGCAGGAGCCTGTCGATTGGATGTTTGCGAAACAAGTCGCCTACTATTAATAGCCCCCCGCAGCGAAGCACACAGCTTTTTGGCGCCGTCCTCAGCCGGCTCATCCAATCAGCAGCCGCCCACCCCCCTGCGAGTGATAATTTAAGTCTCTCCAATGCCAGCCGAGGTCTTGCTGGCGCTTGTCCTTTCTTCTGCCTCTGTGCCTCTCTCTGTCTTCGCTGGGGGGCCGGAAGCGGCACCACGGCTCTTCCGGCCATGCTGCTGAGCTCCTGGTGTTGTGATATGTTAAGAATAGAGATCCAGATCCAGATCCAGATCCATTTCCATTTCCAGTTCAATCCAGAGTGCCAAAGACTCAATAACCCTTGTTGTAGGGTGGGATGCTCCACAAACTCACTATCCGTGAGCAGCAGGACGGGCCCGAGGGTTTCTATCTAACGGAGGCTCCCATCTATGGCATAACTCGTTTGTCCATGATGTCCATCGCGTTGTCAGGCGGTTGCCCCAGGGCGTTGCTGTATTCTTCCCCTGCCCTGCTCCGCCATAACATACTTAAAGGCCATGCCTGTGCCTACTTGTGTCTGTGTCAGATTGCGCGTGAGGCATGCCCTGTCGCCTTTGTTTTAGACTCGGAATCTCCAAGGGCACAGCAAGTCCAAGCGTCTTGCATTGTTAGATCCGGCATCTCTTCAAGTCAATGAATGACTTTTGCACAGGACGCGGCGCTTGTTGAGACACTGGAATTCCGGTATTACCTTTCCTAGAGTACCCAATCAATTCCCTGGGGCATCCTGGTATCCTATCCTCTTGCCAGTCTCGACAGGCGACAAGGCCTTCGCAGTTTATGTTACCGCCTGGAGTCGACTCCCAGCATCTGCTTAGGCGCGCTGTGAAGCAGCATCAGTCCCCGGAAACATGGCTGCGCTGTCAAGAGTCCTGTATACTGCACATTGCTCCAGCAACACTTCAAGGTTCAAGATGCCGCTGTTGGAGAATCTCGGGCCTTCATTTCCGTTTTGGTCCCTTAAGAATGCGTTCTCTTCGGCTTAGGCGTACGCATCCCGTGTCGCTTGCTCCGCACCGTACGACATATGGAGTGTCCGCTGTAAAAACGAGCAACCGCCATGCAGGCATATCAGACGATATTTGGCCGAGTATGAAGAATCCTGGAGATGTCAGGTCTTAGACCGGCACTGTGTTTCGGATCTTAGATACTGTACCAATCTTACCTCGTGGCACTGGATTATGCGGGCGAGCTGCCCGACATGGGCAGTATGGTGTCTCTGTCTCATGGGGAAGTAGCACTGTGGGCAACGTTATTAACGGGTCCCGTCCCTGCTCATTTACTCCTATATTTTGGACCTCTTGGCCAAACCTGAAACAACACTTGCGCTGTTAAAGAAGGACGACCCCACCAACGAACTAGTTTCTGCCGCTCCCCGGCGCCCCACACGGAATTCCATTAATGGCTGCCGTGAAGATACTCCCAGATTCGTACTTCCCCATGACGGATATCATTTCGGTGACAGAATCAGTATACAATTTTGAGATAACTGTTTAGATGTCCCGGCGGAACGCAACTCAATATTCGGGATCGAGCAGCTGACATCTGATGTTTTCTCTCCAGCCTCAATGATAGGCGCGACTAGAGTCTTGAGAGCATGCCAAATCTCGACAGCATATGACGGTCCCCTAGTTCGCCTTCGTCTGCATCTTCACTTGATATTGATCTTCTACCTACCGCAAGCTCCAGCGCCAGCGACGATGCCTCGACTTGATTGACTTTGTCACCAAAGAAGGCCGCATGTAGGGCTGAGAGCATCTCGCCTTAGATCTCCGGGCTCCGCCCACATGTCTCTAAATTCATGCGGTTACGTGTCCCGAGCAAGCCTGATCCAGGAAATTCCACCCTTCTCCATTTCCCAGTCTGGTAATCCCTGACGGGCAACCTATGCGTTCGAGGCTGTCTGCAGTCACATGGACAAGTTGGACTCCGTGGTGTGACGCGTTTCTACTTGGTCCTGCTTACTCCAGACACCTTGTGGTTCAGACGTTGACTTCGCCTTGATTAGTCGTCAAACTTCGTCTCGATGACGTCTCACGTAGACTACCAACGGCTTATCATATCTAAGCAGCTCTCTTTAGTGATTACTTGTTCTTTATTTATCACGAAGCAATTTGTGAGTTGGCACTTGTGAAGAGCGGCCAGAATCTTCAGATTGAGGTGTCATGGTCTGGCAGAAGCTGGCAGCCGAGAAGTGACAAATCCAATACAAGCTCGGAATATGGAGCTATAATGTCAATAACCGTCGCATCGTTTTATATAGACCACGTTTTCTGTAGCAAGTCTTCCTTCTATCACGTGTGAACGAAGCATATTGGTTTGCGACAGGACCTTCCATCTACCTGACTGATGAGCATGACTTGAGCGCAGCCGAAAAGCTAACGCATGGCGTTGATGTTGAAACATCTAGTCGGAGGCTTCATGTTCTGCAAGAGAGCCTACGCAGCAAAATGCGATGTGATAATGCAAGCTACCGACGGAGTGTTGACTCTGAGCGGGGCTATTTTGCAACATGCGATCTACACCTAGCTATAACTCATACTCTCTAGGACCAGTCCTTCACATTATAGATATAGTTTATCCACAATGGCCGGCCTCTATGCTCGACTCCATTGACGGCTTTGCGTCAACTAGATGCTGCAGGCTTGAAATCTTTTCAGCCCGAATCCTTACCATCTGAGACCATCGAGCGGTGGAATAAGTCGTGGTGTTTGATAAGTGCAGCAATGGCAGTGACTGGTTGTCGAGAGACAGGGACGCCCGTGCGGCTGCGAGATACCCCTGATGTTGAGGAGTCCAGCCTCCAACAATGTAACGCTACTTTGCAGTCCTTCTCAACCCCCAGAATTGTTCTCGGTGCTACTGCAGTGGAATCGACAAGCGCACACCGCGCTATAATTCTCAAGCCAGGCAAGCGTCGCCTGTGCCTACAGCATGCATGCCTTAGATCTGCAAGACTTCGGCTCGTCGGTCTGGAGGGAAAACTCTGTTGCAGGACAGTGCCTACCACATGCAGCCATATCACAAACAGGAACGAATCGGTCATCAAACCTGCGATCGGATCTCTAGAGACACGTGAAGTAGCGGAGGCGGGTATTGAAACCCCCGGCCTCGATGGCGTGACAGAAAATGGACTGCCTCGAGAAGCAAGCCCAAGAACATTCAAGCATAGCACGGAGTCTAAGCAGACCTCTAAGCACCTGGAGTAAATGATAACAGAGTCAAGATTAGAGAAGCGAGAGTCTTTAGATCAGGAAAGGAAAAGATTCGATGCGGCCGGGCGGTGTTTCCCTGATCGGCCGTCACATTGAAGGCTTTCCGGAGGTGAAACGGGTCTCTGACCTGCGATGACCGGGTCCGCTTGACAGCTCACAAAGCACA